AAGAAAGAAAAAGAAAACTTACCTCATAATACCATTGTGATAATGGCAAACTGTGAGTGATAGCAAGCCAGTTTCGGTGTACTTCAAAATCTGTAGAATGGCTACACAAAGCAATTAGATAAACAGAATTAACGGGCCAGGGGTTTAGCTCAGCGGTTCAGTGGCCTGCCTTGCAAGTGCAAGGACCCGAGTTCAATCCCCGGTACCAAAAAAAAAGATAAATAGAATTAGATTTTGAAACCTTTATCAATTTCAAATGTCCATAATTATGATAATTATGCTTTTAAATGTTTTGACACCCTCTAACAGTTACAACTCATTCTCCTATAAAGACACAAACAGGCATTTCATATTCCTGAAACATCACAGTTTTCAGCAAGTCAGAATGTCAGACCTTCAGGAAAGTTGCTGGATCTATAAGTTAGTGGAAAGAGTCTCAGAGCTTAAAAGGCAGAAAAATAGCTCAAAAACAACTCTAACAAAATTTTTTGTCTGGAAGAGGCTTCACACACAAGCTGGATCTTCAGAAATGGGTAGGAACTCACCAGAGGAAAGAAGAAAAAGGTCCTTGTCCTGCCTTTCCATGTCTCCAAATTGTCCCCATCTACTGTATATAAATAGCATCTCAATATGTACCTAACATTAGAAGCAGTCACTTCCCATCACTACATATATATGTATGTGTGTGTGTGTGTGTGTAAAATACTGTATATCCAAGCATCTCCCATCTTTAGTAGAAGTGTTTTTGTTTGTCCATGCTATACTTCATCTCCATGTCTAGAGCAACACCCGATACAAGGATGGGCTCCTCTCTCCAAAGCCAATAGGTTACACAACAAAGCCATTTACACTTTCCAGTTTGTTTTACACAATCTTTCTGAGGACATCTTCCAAGTCTCAGCCACTCCTTTTCCCTTTTTTCTGAGGTAAATGTTGATATCTCCCTAGGTCTTGGTTTTTTTTTTTAACCAGGGATTGAACTCTGGGCCTTGTGCTTACAAGGCAGGCAGCAGAACCACTGAGCTAAATCCCCCCCCACCTTTTAAAGCTACTCTTTTCTGGACAATCTTATTCACACTTTTTGGTGCCACTATCAACTACACAATGACAATTCCCAAATTGCTATATATTATTTTGGTCTTTTTCTTGAGTTCTAGAGATAGACATATCCAATTTTCTAAGAAAATATCACCAGAATTTCTTAAAAATTCCTCAACAGTCACCATTCTAAACTGATGACCAATTTTCATTTCCTTTTTTTTTTTTGGTGGCACTGGGAATTAAACTCAAGACCTTGCACTTGCAAGGCAGGCATGGTGCCACTGAGCTAAATTCCCAGCCCTTTGTTTTGTTTTGTTTTGATCCGGGGATCGAACTCGGGACCTTGAGCTTGCAAGGTGTTTTTGTTTTTTGAGACAGGGTCTCCCTTTGTAGCTCAGGCTCACTGTGCAGCCCAGCCTGGCCTTGAACTCATCTCAATCCTCCTTCCTCAGCCTCCAGAGTGCTGGGATTATAGGCATGTGCCCACCATGCCTGGCTCCTTTCTAGGTACATACTCAACAAAAATATTGCTGTTTTTTTTTTTTTTGGTATCAGGGATTGAACTTGGGTCCTTGTGCTTGCGAAGCAGCCCACAGAACCGCTGAGCTAAGTCCCTGGCCCTACTGCTGTTTTTTAACAATTCCTCAGGTATAATTTCTAAAATGATAAATATCTATCCAAAAGCCTACACAAACATATAGCTTTCTAGGAACCCCAATGATCTTGTTTGTTTACTTGGTTATTTTTTGAGACAGGGTCTTGCCCTATAGTTCAGGCTGGTCCTGAACTTGCAGCAATCCTCCTGAGTTAGCTACCACATCTACGTGAATTTTTTTTTGTTGTTGTTTGTTTTGGTACTGGGGATTGAACTCAGGACTTTGTCATTGCAAGGAGGTGGCAACACCACTGAGCTAAATTCCAGGCCCATCTCAATGATTTTTGAGAGACTAAGAAATACTGACCAAAAAAGGCTTGAAAACTGCTGCTATGTAGTGACAAAAACCTATAATTATGTGCAACAACATACAAATTCAATGTTGGCTGAAAGAAACTATATCTAAGAGAAAGTGCTGAATGATTCCTAGTGTATTAACCTCAAAAATGGGTAAAATTCAGGCCAGGGATTTAGCTCAGTGGTGCTGCCGCCTGCCTCTCAAGCGCAAGGACCTGAGTTCAATCCCTGGTACCAAACAGAAAAACAAAAAAATGTGGCCAGGTGTGGTGGCGCATGCCTGTAATCCCAGCACTCGGGAGGCTGAGGCAGGAGGATCCCTGTGAGTTCGAGACCAGCCTACGCTACATAGTGAGGTCCAGGTCAGTCTCAACTACATAGTGAGACCCTGTCTCAACAACCCCCCCCCCAAAAAAACCCCAAACAAAAAAATGTGTGAAATTCAATATATGGAGCTAAAAGTCAGAATGTTAATACTTTTGGAGTAGGGACAGGGAAATAACTATAAAAGTCTAAAGGGCTTCTGATAAAACTCTGCATATTGACCTAGATGCTATTTATAGACAGATTCATTTTGCAAAACTTCAGTGAGAGGTACTGTTAATGATGTGCTTATATATAGTATTTTACTTGACTGTGTATGGAGTCTAGGCTAAAACTGTTCTTTTTTTTGTTTTGTTTTTTGTACCAGGGATTGAACTCAGATCCTTGCACTTGTAAGGCAGGCCACTGAACTGCTGAGCTAAATCGCCGGCCCAACTATTTTCTTTTTTATGGTCTTTTTTAACTTTAATTTTTATTAGTACATGTTTGTAGGACATGATTCCATTTTTTAAAATTAATTTTATCCCATTACCCTCCTCATGATTACATTTATCATGGGGAGTTGGTACATGTATATAACACATCTTAATTCTTTTTTATTCCCTTCCTCTCCTCTCCCTTCTCTTTTAGTATATGTTGATGCTGAGAAATCTCAATCATTTACTTTTCCCTTCATCTCTGGAAACTGTTTATTGTTTTTATCCTTAGTATTCTGAAATTTCTAGACTTATGTTTTGGTGAGAATATGTCTGCATTATGGTAGGCACTCAAGTGTCTTCAAGAATGTTATTTATCTGTCCTCTGTTTTGTTCATTTTTCTGAAAAGATAATTCTTATTTTTCTCTTATTTGCTAAATTTGCTTAATTTATCCTTTTTAAATTTTTGATTATATTTTCCACTTTATATTGATTTATATTTATTATATTTTCTACTTTCTACTTTATTCTCTGATCATTCCTTTTTCACAGCAATTTTTTACTTTTCAAAGACAGCACTTAGAAGATTTGAGGAAATTTGAGGACATTTTCTTAGCTGTGCTATATTGATTTCCTTCAGTCTTTTGGGGAGGGTTGTTGATTTTTTAAAAAATTCTCTTAGAAACTGTTAAGAGAATACATTTTGTGATGGTAAAGATCTGTAATCTCAGCAGGAGGATCACCATTAGTTTGAGGCCAGCCTAGGCTACAACAGTGAATTCAGAGATCTGGGGATTTAGCTTAGTGATTCTACCTTGCAAGCACAAGGTCCTGAGTTTGATACCTGATACCAGTAAAAAAAGAAAGAAAGATAAAAGTGAATTCAAGGCCAGTTTGAACTATATTGCAAGACCATGTCTAAAAAGAAATCCAAATAAAAACAATTCATAATGGTATAGCAAAAACCCCTATCAAAGAGAGAACTTCAATGCTATAGTACCAGCGATTCTTTATTGTAACTGCTGAATAAGGTAAGAATAAAAATAATTTTAACTTGCTGAAACAATCTTTGAAAAAAAAAAGTAAAATCAGAAAGCCAGATGTGGACATGCATGGCTGCAATCCCACCACTTGGGAGTCTGAAGCCAGAGTACCACCAAGAAGTTCAAGGCCAGCCTGGACTATGTAGCAGAGACCCTATCTCAAAACAAAACAAAGCAGCAACAATAAAAACCTAAAAAAGGTAGAGACAATGCCAAATACCTTAACAGGACACTTTCTAAGAAATGCATCCTTAGGTGATTTCTTAGTGTGCAAATATGAAACAGCAAACTGATACAACTGGAATAACTATGACGTCACCATATGATATAACTTTACAGCACTACTGATGAGTGAACCACCATCAGCTGAAACTTCATTTATTGAACTTTGGCTGCAATGTGACAGATAGATTAATAAAAGGCTAGACCGATGAGAGTCCAATTAGGAACATATCCAAAGACAAGTACATTCTTAATTTTGGACCAAGGGCAGAGTTTAAAACAATAACCCTGAGAATACATTTCTAGGCTGCAGCAACTAAAGTAAGAAATATCTCATACAGACCTACATTTTTATTTATTTATTTTTTGGTACCAGGGATTGAATTTGGGACTTTGCGCCAGCAAGGCAGGAAGCGGCACCACTGAGCTAAATCCTTGGCCCCACACTTGAATTTCTTACATTTTAGAACACTCTTTCCAATTTATTTTGAAACAGAAAGATGTTTCCTACTTTTCAGCTATACTTTCTGTGGATCAATACCTCTTTTTTCAACTGACCAATCCCTTCCAGAGTTGGCATGTTGTTCTACTGAACCTTTATATTAAAATGCTTATATAATTACACATATAATCAGTTTGGACATACATTCTATACCTAACAGCTCTCTCATACCCAACAAGAAATCATTAAGAGCTTGAGAGAGAGGAGTGCCATAATCTAAACTCTAAGCTAGGGAGGAGGAGGGCCTGGAGAGAATGGAGAAAAAGAATGAGGGTTAAAATAAAATACAAGAATAAGGAACGATGAAAAGAAGGCATAAACATTACTTCGTTGTAGTTCCTTGTTCCCACACTTTTATTCTTAGCCCTTCATCCATTTTTCCCACTGAGTCTTTATAAGTGAGTGATCCGGCCACTTATCCTGTGCCAGATTTCCTGCTTTACTGCTCTTCATCCTTGGGGCCACTGTTTTGTACTATAGGGCCTTTGAAATTATTCTTTCCTGCGCCTAAATTGCTTTCCATATTGTTTTTTTTTGTTGTTGTTGTTGTTGTTACGGGGATTGAATTCAGGTCCTCGAGCTTGCGAGGCAGGAGGCGCACACTTCGGATTTAAACTCAAACATTACCTTCTACGAGAGCAGTAAAACCCTGCATGTAGTCATTCCCATTTCCTTTATAGGTCTCTACCCCCCCCCCCGCCTTTTTGAGATAGAATCTCTCTAAACCACCAAATTGTCCAGGCTGGGCTCAAATTTATGATTCTCCAGCCTCAACCTCAGAGTGTGGAGATTACAGGGGTGCGCTACCACGCTCAGCTAGCTCCTTTATGTCTTAACACAACCTGAAACTTGTACTGATTGTGTGCTCCCATCAATTCCACGGAGGACGAGATCCAGAAGTCTTGCTCACCATCGTATCTCCCTATGGTGCCATATACGGCTCGTAATACCGGCTGAGTAAACGGCTGGGAAGAGTGCTTTTCATTTGCAAATGATGAATAAGGGTTCTGAGCCTGACACCATAAAGTGACTTGCCTCAAGTCAAAAAGCGCTAGGACAGAACCTGGCTAGCCAGGGCTATATTCTAATTTTCAGGTCAAGTTACAACCTGCGCAGTGGGAAGCTCAGTAAAGGCAGTGGCGACTACACGACCTGAACTTCCTTTTCCTCCTCACTCTCGAATATCGACACATCCTTCTCCCGCCCTGACCACCCCGGAATCTCCCCCCGCAGCCCAGGGCCGTGCAGTCCTTACTAGGTGGGAATGAGAAGGCATTTGAGGAGCGTCACCCCGAGCGCCAAAGCCGAAAACCAATTGCTGCTACCCTTTACAGTTCCGAGCGCCGCCATCGCTGTAGTACCGCTCGTTTTCAGCCAATTGAGCCACATCCGGGCTCCCGCGCATGCGGGGAGGGACCTGGTGGGGGGGGGTCACGAAATTCGCGCATGCGTTCTGCAGCTCAGCCGGTTAGCGTTCAGACTTGAGGCGTTTAAACTTCCCGCCCACTATTTTTCCGCTGCTAGCTTTGAGCCGAGGCGGAGAAGGCGTTATTGCGCCTGCGCGGGCCTTTGTGGCGAGAGATTTAAATTTTATTTGCTAATTCATACTCTCATTCAAATAGTGGCTGGTCGTCTGCATACCTAGGTGAGAAATGATTGTCTTTTCCTGGAGACGCTCAAAGTGCTAGTGGAGGAGACACTACTATCTGTTGGTTGCAGTAGATAAAAGTACGTGAGAATATTGCGCAAGTGCCATTGTGAGTGCCTGAACTGGAATATGAAATCCAGGTGGAAAAAGACAGGAGCGGAGATGCAGAGGTGAAAACCGTTACTTGTTGCTACGATGCTGAGTAAAGTTCTCCGCACTGCACCTGCCTGAGTAGAACCCACTCTGAGGGCGGGCTGCAGTCTACTACTTCTTAAACTTGATGTATAGATAACCTGGGGATCTTGTTAAAATTCAGTAGGTCGGTCTTACAAATTCTTAGACCACGTCAGTGCTGCTGGTACTCGAGCTACAAGAACCGAGACACAAGCAATGAAATTATCTTGTTCTGCTTGTGCCGTGTGATCTTGGACAAATTAAATTTAGAGGTGTTTTTGTAAGTAGATAAAAATGGATTTTTAGCATTTAGAGTGGTTGTGAGGATTAAGAAATGCATGTAGGGCTGGGGATTTGGCTCAGGGGTTCCGCCGCCTGCCTTGCAAGCGCAAGGACCCAAGTTCGATCCCCGGTACCAAAAAAAAGCATGTAAATTGCTTGAAATGATGCCAGGACAGAATAAATACTTAATAATGTGTCATAGAAGGTAAGTACCTTACTGAAATATGCACAGGAAGTAGGTGCTAATAACGAGCTTATGCTCTCCTACAGCTTCCTCTGCTATATATATGATGGTCAAATTTATATCTAAAGCCCAGCCCTTTTCTCTTACCTCCTGTCTCTTATCTCATGCCTACCTGACATCTTAGGTATTACCCCTCCCTTTTCTTTCTTTCTTTTTTTCCCCCTCCTTCCTTCTTTTTTCTGGTAGTACTGGAGAACAAACCTAGGCTTCACGTATGCTAGACAAGACCTCTACCACTGAGTTATACCTCCAGACCTCTTAAATGTTTCAAAGCTTTTAAACGTTAGTTTCCTATTGGTGCTGTAACAAATTACCACAAATTTAGTAGCTAAGAGCAACACAAATTTATTCTTTCAACTGAAAGGGAACAGCAACGCTCAACAACTAGGCCGCACACCGAAAGGTCTGACTGGAGATTTTATTCAAGGAGTGGGAGTAGAGAGAAAGAGGAGAGAGAGAGAGAGAGAGAGAGAGAGAGAGAGAGAGAGAGAGAAGAAGAAGAAGGAGGAGGAGGAAGAAGAAGAAAAGAAGAAGAAGAGAGGAGGAGGAGGAAGAAGAAAGAGAGAGCAGAGAGAGGGAAGAAGAAGAGGAAGAGAGAAGAACAAAGAAAGGAAGGTCCTTTTATTGGTTTTGGGCTGGGCTATTGCTTATTCATGAGGAGTGGGCTACTTTCAACCTATCACAGGCCAGGTTGCCTTTTATGGGTTCAGTCCTGCAGAAGCAGGTTTTAACTTTTCTGTCTTGCTGTGGCCTTGGTGGGAGGGAAACTAAAGATAAGAGCATGAAGTCATTCTAAGAGCCAAGAAGCACCAGGAAAATGCAGCCTGTGATGGCGGCATCACAAAATACTTTAACATGATCAATTCCCTCACATCAACAGTTCTATACATTAAAATTCTGAAGGTCTTTGAGTTAAAGTCAGGGGTCATTAAAATTGGTTCCTTCTAGAGACTCTGAAGAAAGGATCTGTTTTCCTGCCCTTTTCAGTGTTTAGAACTTGTCTACATTCCTTGGCCTCTTTTTCACAACATTCCAAACTCTTGGTTCCATCCTCCCAATCTTACTTTTTTATAGTCAAGTCTTCCTCTGGGAGGAAAATCTCTAAATCTTTGCTTCCTTCTTTTAGGGACGTTTGAGGTTGTATTTGGGGCCCACTTGGATAATCTAGGGTAATCCCCATCTCAAGAGTCTTAATTCAATCACATTTGCCAAGGCTTTTTTCCACATAAAATGACATTTACAGGTTCCATGGGTTAGGACATGGATATCTTTGGCCATTTTGTTTACTACATACATCAAACTCAGTATATCCCAAACTGAATTCACAGTATTATCCACTCAGAGATTGATACTAACCGTCTAGTAGGAAAAGAATGTTTTGCTTGACTTTTCATAGGAATTGAAGATAGCACTCTCTGGTCCTAGATGCAGAGTTGGTAGTTTTTCTGTGCATGTTCTGGATCTCCATGATTAACAGGTCATGCTTACTTGTCCAGCTGCCTTGCCCTGCCCTCATCTCCTACCTCACAAGTACTTTACCATGGGACAATAGCAAATGGCTTGAGAACATGTCAGGAAACCGTAAGACCCATTCTTTGTCTTGCAAAAGTGAAAGACTTTGCTTTGAGAAGAAATCCCCAAGGGCAGAATGTTATGGCTTATATCTTGATGTCCTCACCCACCCACCCAAGCCTCATACACTCAATAGGCTGGACTTTTGGAAGGTGACTAGATCATGGGAGTGGTATAGCTGATTTGCTGTTGAGAGGCAGGGTATAGTTGGCGGAGACAGGTTCCTGGGGGATGTGGTTTAGAAGAGATTATCTCCCTCCCCAGCTCATCCCTTCACTCTGCTTCTTGTCAACCCATTGTGAGGGGAGCAGCTTTCTCCCACTTAGGCCCTTCTACCAGGCAGCCCAACCATGGAAGGACTTTTAATACATAAGCCAGAATAAACCTCTCCCCATTTAAATTGTAGGTGTTGCATATTTGGTCCTAGGAAGGTAAAAAGTAACTAAGACAAGGTAAGAACTGGTTCACTTTGAAAAGCATTTCATGAAAAACTGCTTCTCATTAACCTTGCAAACTCTCTCCATGATGTGAAGAATTTGATACATCTTTCAAAATGAAAAGTAATGAGGGTTGGGTATTTAGCTCAGTGGTTCTGCCGCCTGCCTGGCAAGCACAAGGACCTGAGTTTGATCCTGGTACGCTGCCCCCCAAAGTAACAATTTAAAAAAAATAATGAAGGCCGGGTGTGGTGGCACATGCCTGTAATCCCAGCACTCAGGAGGGTGAGGCAGGAGGATGGCTGTGAGTTCAAGACCAGCCTGGGCTACATAGTGAGTTCCAGGTCAGTCTCAACTACATAGTGGGACCCTGTCTCAAAAATCCGAAAAACAAAGCAAAACAAAAAAAAAAAAAAAAAAAGAAAAAGAAGGAAGTTGTGGAGGAGGCTGAAAAGGGATGGGATACCCTCCTAAGGGGAACACTAATGAGGAAAATGGGGAGCAGGAGGCTAACAATGAAGTAGAGGACGGAGGTGGGGAGGTGCAGGATGGAGAGGAGCAGGCTGAAGCAGCTATGGGCAAATGGGCAGCGGAAGATGATGAGGATGGTGATGTTAACACCAAAAAGCAGACTGATGAGGATAACCAGACAACAAAAAAGGAAGAGGTAAACTTAAGTAAAAATGACACTGTGACCTATTCATCCTCCATTTGTTTCAGAATCTAAACATGGTCCCCTTGGCTTGAGGAGGCCCACCTGCCTACCACAGGGAGAATCACCCGTGGACATTGTGAGGTATCTACCATAACCAAACCACAATATGAATTGTAACGGGAGGAAAAAAGAACCAACATTTCTAAGGTTCTACTTTTTTCCTTCAAAGTGTTTTTACTTTTTTTTTTTGGTACTGGGATTGAGCTTGGTCCTTGCACTTGCGAGGCAGGCAGCCGCACCACTGAGCTAAATCCCCAGCCCCAGAAGTATTTTAAAAAGAATAATTTGTTTTTATTTTTATTTGCACTTTATGTTTTTCTACATACTGTTAGGAATCAGCCATGCTTAATGATCTTAGATGACCTTTGAAATATTTCTGGTCCTGCTTCTGACTTTACTTGTGGTTTGACCATGTTCATTATACTCTCAAAGGAAAAAAAGAACTTTGTGAAAAAAGCAAAACAACAACCAAAAAACCCAAATGTTCCAGGAATTTTCCATGTGTTTTTTAGCTATTCTATAAGTAGTTGGTTTGTATGACTAAAGACAAAAGTGTGTTTATTTTTTTTCTTTTTGGTACCGGGGATTGAACTCGGGTCCTTGAGCTTGCGAGGCAGGCCACCGAACTGCTGAGCTAAATCCCTGGCCCTTCTTTTTCTTTTTAAAAATCTATGAAGTAGCTGTTTGTAGGGAACAGGGAAAAGGGGACATTACTAGAACCTCTGCAATAAGTCCTGGTCTCCTTCGAGCCATGACAGTGCAAGGCAAATTAACTTATTAGACAGAAAAGAGAAAAAATGAGAAGCTGAGCTTTGGGCTTGATCAAGGCTGATGTGGGCAACAAAGACCAAAGAACCAAGCTTGCCACACCTTTATTCAGTACAGAAGGAGGAAAAAAAAATATGGATGACTAGAGGCAGAGAGTTTAGTCCAATGGGAGAGTAACAAATGTAAAAGGTGACTCAAGGGGCAGTGAAGATGAAAATCCTAGAACAATGAGGAACTGTGCAGATGAAGATTTTGTTCCTCCCAGGACATCTTCAGCTGGGGTAATCTTGCCCTGGCGCATGAGAGCACCACTAGACCATTGAGGTCTAGCTGTGACCGAAAAAAGAAGTAAGTCTCAACACGCTGTGGCTGGCTCTAATCATGATTCAATTGTAAAATGATTTTTCCCCAGAATTGTGTAGAATTGCTCCTGACAGCTGTTTATGTTTTGGCCTGTTTGATGTACATGAAAGACAGTGTTGGCCAAGAATAAATGGCAGTTTTATTTTGCTGTGTTGTTTCAACAATAACAACAAAAGAAACAGTCGTGAAAATTTTGTTCTTTACTACTTCTGCTTTGGATTTAAATATGAGTCACGGAGTGGACTCAGTTGTGAAGAAATAGTGCCTCTTATTGTCCCTGATGTCACTAAACACACCCCTCCTACTGTGCTGTTTGGCAGCACATTTACTAAAAATCTCTTCTACTTACAGGCTTTTTTTTTTAGACCAGGTCTTGCTAATGTAGTTCATTCTGGCCTTAAACTGGTGGTGATTCTCCTGCTTCAGCTACCCAAGTGCTGTAATTACAGGCATGGGCCACGATGGCCAGCAGTTCTAGACTTTTTATTATACGTGGAGACTAATATCCCACTCATTTTTTTATTATTCATTAAGTTTATTGGTACATTTTGTTATAGCCGTTTCAGTGAAAAGAATCACACCACAAAAAATGTCCAAATTAAAAGTCCTTTATAGCCAGTGACCAAAGGTGATCTCCTCGCTCTTAACTCTCTTTGGCATGGATCAAGCAGGGAAGCTCAATTTTTAAGGGGAAAAAACCACACGATAGAATGTCATGATCTCATCTCTGAGCAAGCACAGGGGCACAGAAGCAGGTTGCAAGTTAGATTAAAATCCAGTTTTTGGGATCCGGCAGGAAATTCCTATCCCTATGGTTAGAGTCATAGTGTAACCTGTCCTGTCCTTAGTTCTTAACCGCAAGACATGTCCTGTCCTCTGATCTCAACTACAAGGTAAGCTCTGTGCTGGTTAACTAATCACTTTGAACAAGCAATTTAGGGAGGGAAAGGAGTAAAGTTCAGGTGAGGCTATGGGGGGGGTCCTGGTTAACTCTTCACATTTGAGGTATACAATATGATGACATTCGTCATTGGTGATTTGTACCTTTATATGATATGTCTTGGTTCTAATTTTTTTCCAATCCCTTGCCCTTCCTTCAACCTCTCCACCTGTCCCTATTTACAAGACTTTGTTTCCGTTTTTTCCTTTTCTCTTTTCTTATATTTTTTCCTTTCCCTTCTTTCTTTTCACCTTCCTCTTTGGACCTTTTCTCTTTCCGTTCACTTTCTCCTTTGGACTGTTCCTCTTCCCCCTCCCCTTCCCCTTTGAGCCCTTTCTTCCTATTTCACATTACCTATTATACATTTTAGTTCTCATTTACACTTTCAGTTTTTCACACCAGAGAAACAGTTCAATATTTACATATATGTATCCTATTTATTTCACTTAAGAGTATAGCCTCAGTGTGCATCCATTTAGCTATAAATGTCTTTAGCTTCTTATTCTTTATGACTGAGTAGTACTCTGTTTTATAAAAACAAAACAAAACAACCCCATATCTTCTTTATCCAGTCACCAGTGTATGGGATTCGAGTTGTTTCAGAGATTTAGCTATTATAAACTGTGCCACCGTCCCACTCTTATATGTCGATCAGGTCATTTGCTCTTCCGGCTAAAGGCATTTTTATTGCCAAGTCCTATTTAGGTGGCCTCTGATTGATGTATCTCTCATGTTCATCCAGTCCTCTTCACTAGTCTACCTGCACTGACTTTCTTTCAGCCTCTGGTCCGTGCTGTGTTCCCTCCTATACTGTACATTTAGATGTGCTGGTCCCTCTGTTTGCTGTTTCCTCCTGTACTATACCCTTGCATGTGCTGTTTCCTCTATCTGGAAGTTCTTCTCTTTAGCTCTCAGATCAAGCACCTCTGCCCTAGGGTAACTTTTCTTGATCTCCTTTAATCTTCCCTGTGCACTTACCAGCTGAGTGCAATGTTACATTTGTGTGGTGATCTAATTCTCTCACTAGTTATTCACTCGAGTGCATGGGGCTTTGTTTTTATTCACTATTGCAGCAGCAGTGGCTGGCACAGCACACACACTCAACATCTGTTGAGCCACCATGTGACCATCTGAAACACTATTCCAAACCAACTCTCCTACCTGTGAATCCTCACTTCCCCCCCAAAAATGTACTACTAGGAGTGGGTTTAATTGGTATATGATGAGAAATTGCAGAATAGGGCCAATATCAGTTTTAGGGGGTCATCAAACTGGAAAATCTGAGCACGTGGAACAATATACGATTTGATGAAGTTTCTCATAAACTATGTGACCTGGTCTCTTTCCTTTCCAAGAAGTTGATCCATTCCATTCTGTTCTAGCTCCTTGGCATTGCTGGGTACTAGAAAGCTCTCTGACCACTGCAACAGCCTTCTCTTTTTGAGAAGAGAGTGCGTGAATGTGAATGATTTACAGGCTGCAATTGCTCTGCGTAATTTTGTTTTTTCATCTTTTTGAGTTTTTTCTTCTTGGTTTTAATTTTTTTGTTTTTTTGGTTTTTTAAGACAGGGTCTCACTGCGTAGTTGAGACTGACCTGGAACTCACTGTGTAGCCCAGGCCAATCTTGAACTCACAGCGATCCTGCTGCCTCAGCCTCCCGAGTGCTGGGATTACAGGCGTGTGCCACCACTCCTGGCGGTTTTAATTTTAATTCTTCTATTTTTTTTTGGAATTTAACCAAAGCTTATGATTAATCACATAAATTATGTTTTTTTAAAAATCTCAGAATGATTGTTCATAACATCCCTTGGAGAACAAATTTAGAAAAACAGTCAAGTTCCAGTTTTAAAATTTTAAATGGAAAAAAATTTTTTTTTGTTACTGGGGATTGAACTCAGGTCCTGTGCTTGAGAGGCAGGCAGCAGAACCACTGAGCTAAATCCCCAGCCCCCCCCAAAATTTTTTTTTAATGAAAAAGGCAGGCATAGTTGTACACAACTGTTATCCTAGCACTCGGGAGGCTGAGGCAGGAGGATCACTGTGAGTTTGAGGCCAGTCTGGGTTACAAAGTAAGTTCCGCCAGCTTGAACTATAACAACACCTTGCCTCAAAAACATTTTAAAAATGAGTGCATGATACTGCTTCTAGACGTTGTAGTAGTTATTTATTGCTGTATACTGAATTACTCCAAAACAGCACCTAAAATAAGACACATTTATTATATCAGGTACTTGGGTCAGGAACTCGAGTGGTTTAGATGGGTTGCCCTGGCTGAGGGTCTCTCATGAAGTTCTAGCCAGGGCAGCATCAGGGGCTGGCTGTAGCCTGCTGAAGGGTTCACTGAAGCTCCAGTGTCTATGTCCAAGGCCAGGGGAAGTAGAAGGCCTCACTTCCATTCTTGTGGGCTTTCCCTTGGTCTCCTTGAGTGTTCTCAGGACATGGCAACTGACTGTCACCAGATCAAGTGATCCAAGAGTAAGCAGACAGCAAGTTACAATGCTTTTCATGACCCAGTGTCTGAAGGTTCACACTGTCACTTCTGCTTGATTTATTAGGAGTGACTTAGTAATCCAGGCCACAGTGAAGGGGAGGGCAATTAGACTCCATTTTTTAACCCCCTCTTTCTCTTTTTTAGACTCCATATCTTGAAAGAGGAATAGCAAAGAATTTGTTGACATGTTTTAAAACTACCATAGAGGTTTCCACTGTATCCTTGGAATATCAGGAATATGACCGTGCTTTATAGTGAGAAGACCCCACATCATGTCTAGTTTGTCCTATCAACAATCGTTTTCTCAATGGCCATACTGCTAAAATTATTATACAGATTCAATGAAATCCCAACAGCATATCTCACAGAATTAGAAAAAGCAATCCTAAGGCCGGGGATTTAGCTTAGTGGTGCCTAGTTCAACCCCTGGTACCAAAGAAAGAAAGAAAGAAAGAATCCTAAATTTCATTCGGAGCCAGAGGAGACCTAGAATAGCAAAGGCAATTCTGGGCAACAAAGGAAGGCAGGGGGTTTCACAATCTCTGGCTTTAAATTATACTACAAAGGTACAGTGATAAAAACAACAAAGTACTGGCAAAAGAACAGACCTGAAGATCAGTGGAATAGACTAGAAGATGCAGAAACAACTCCAGACACTCTCAGCCACCTTATCTTTGACAAAGGAGTCAAACACCTTCACTGGAAGATAGACTCTTTCATAAACAACGCTTGAAAAACTAGCTTTCCACAGTCAAAGATTAAAACTAGACTCATATCTTTCACCACACACTAACCTAGAATGAAAATGGATGAAAAATCTAATTATTAAATCTGCTGGAAGAGAGAATAGGTAGAACCCTAGAGGACATAGGAGTTGGCAAAGACTTTATGAACAAAACCCAGACTGCATGGGAGATACTACAAAGAATCAACAACTGGGATCTCATCTTGTTAAAAAGCTTTGGCATAGCAAAAGAAGCCACCAATACAGTAAAGAGACAATGTATAGTATGGGAAAATTTTTACCAGCTATTCATATAAAGGACTCATCTAGAATATATAAAGAAGTAAAAAACATCAGACCCCCCCAAATTTAAACACCCAGTCTGAAAATGGGCATCTGAAATGCAAAGATACTTCTCAGATGAATAATCAGAAACAGCAAATAAATATATTTAAAAAATTCAGTGTTGCTGGTCATTTGTGAAATGCAAATTAAAACAATACATAGCTGGGGATTTAGTTCAGTGGTGCCACTGCCTGCCTCCAAGCAAGCACAAGGTCCTGAGTTTGATCCTTGGTACAAAAAAAAAAAAAAAAAAAAAAAAAGCTGGGCGTGGTGGTACACACCTGTAATCCCAGCACTTGGGAGGCTGAGGCAGGAGGATTGCTGTGAGTTCAAGACCAGCCTGGGCTACATAGTGAGTTCCAGGTCAATCTCAACAACATAGTGAGACCCTGTCTCAAAAAACCAAACCAAACCAAAACAAAAACTCTGCAAAACAACACTGGTAGTTCACCTCCAGAAAGAATGGCTACTATCAAGAAATCAGCCAATAACAAATGCTGGAGGGATTGTGGGGAAAAAGGAACACTGCCCCGGCCCGCGGGGTCAGTAATTGGCAGAGCTCGAGAAGGGGAAGTACCTGGAAATGAGACAAGAGGGGCGCGGAAAGAAGGAGACCAAGCAAAGAGTTGTCAAGGTCTCATTTATTTGCAGATACAGGCAGTTTATAAAGGGAAAAACCGCAAAATTGTAAGAGGAAATAGTTAACCATAAACTTTGGGAGGAGAATGTAACAATAGTATAACACAATGTTACTATGTAACGGATCAGGTCACTTGTCTGCGCAAACCCGTTGTCATTGGTAACGACACAACTGTGGTGGTGGGGTGATCAGCGGGTCAACATGGAGGCTGTTTGGTTTTTACTTAGGACAGGCTAGCAGCTTAGTCTACCACAGAACACTTTTCCACTGGTGGTGCAACCACTATTGAAATCAGTGTGGAGATTTCTCAAAAAATTGAAACTAGAGGTTCCATTTGACCCAGCTGTTCCTCTTCTTGGTATCTTCCTAAAAGAATTAAAAGCATCATACAACAGTGATAAATGCACACCATATTTATAGCAACACAGTGTATCATAGCTAAATCTTAGAAATAGCCCAAAGGGCCATTAACTGATGAGTGATAAAGATGTGGTTTTTGGAGTACTACTCTGCCCTAAAGAAGGATGAGCTTCAGACTTTTATAGCTAAGTGGGTGGACATTGAGACCATACTCCTCTGTGAAATAAATTGGACACACATGTTTAAATACTGCATTGTTTCTCTGGTGTGAGAAACTTAAAGTGGAAATAAGGACTAAAATGTATAATAGATATTGGAAAATGTGAAGAAAATGTTCAAATGAGAAGGGGAACAAGGGAGGAAGGAGGAAGAAAGCAAGGGCCAAGAAAAAAGTGAAAATAGAAAAAATGGAAACAGCTTTTGTACAAAGGGACGGGAAGAGGGTTGAGGGAGGGGAATGGAATAAAATAAAATAAAATGTACTTTAAAAAACAATCATTTTCTCTGTGTTCTAAAAGAACCCTCAAGGTGTACAGATCTTGCGTTAGGCCTTTTATTCAAGGTTGAATACAAGAAGGAGCTGCCCTGTCTGAGGACTCATATGTGCTAACAACATTCCAGGCATTTTTGTTGCATTTATTTTCACACCATCCTTTGAAGTCGATACTACTGTTATCCTTACTTTGCAGATGAGAAAACTGAGTCTCAGAGAAGTTAAATAACTTGCACAAGGACATCCATCAAGGTGAAAAGGTAGGATTTGAATTCAGTACTGTCTAATATTACATTTTTCTGCACCCATATGGCCTTCCTGGAGCTCAGTCTCCCAAAGCAAGTGGCAATTCAGTTGCTGACAGAATGTGATGAGTTGAGCAATTAGATATGTTGATTGCCTTGATTGCACCCTAGGATCTTTACTATGGAAAAGAAAGAGGCCAAAGCTCTAGCTTTCATTCTAGTTCCAGTTCTGCATCTGATTTGCTGTATAATCACAGGCAGGTCACTTTTTCTCTCTGTACCCTGGCAGAAAGGTGAGAATGCAGCCTTTTGTCACACATCGTTCTAATTCCCACCTGTAATCTGATGCTTCACAGTGCGGGGCCAGGTTGTCCTGATGTGCAGCTTCTTATGGAAATTCACCTGCCTAGTTAAGAAGCAGAGTCAACCTGGAATCATTCCAGCTCATGACTCTTATTCAAGGACACTTGCACATTCCTTACTTTCCTTTAATGCCTCAGTAAATCTGATTTTTGTTTTGTTTTGAGACAGGGTGTCACTTTTAGTTGAGATTGGACTTGAACTCACTGTGTAGCCCGGGCTGGCCTTGACCCGCGGTGATCCTCCTGTCTTAGCCTCAAAAATGCTGGGCTTACAGGTGTGCTCCACCACATTCAGGAGTAAAGATGACTGTTGAGTGAACTTCTTTTCTTCCTTCTGCTCTTTTTATGTATTAAATTTTATCAGTCTGGGCTAGAGATTTAGCCCAGTGGCAAAGTGCTTGCCTAGTGTAAGCAAGGCTCAGGATTTAATCCCTAGCCATACAAAAGAGAAAAGAATGAGAAATACCATGAGTGTTTTCCTATGCCTACCTGTCCTTACACAGTAATGTGTGTATGTGTTCATGTGCGCACATTCATTCCTGTATGCATGTGCAAAACCTACTTCCTTAACTGAGCTTATTGTCTCTGTAATTTCCTGAACTTTGGTATGTGTGTGCACGCATGTGTACAGTGCTGTCATTCAGACCGAGGATCTCACACTTGCAAAGTATGTTTTCTACCACTGTGCTCTATCCTTTTTGTAAGCTTTTTGATGAAAGTAGTCATTTCATGTAGTATTTTTGCAAGGTTTTGAGGCTTTGGTCATAGCTGCATGTTTTTTTTCTTTTTTCTCTGTATTTGTCTTCTGTCTGTCTATCTAGCTATCTATCATCTATTTACATATTTATTTGCAGTACTGGGGATTGAACTCAGGGCTACAACTCCAGACTTTATAAATTTTAAGACAGGATCTCACTAAATCACCAAGTGGCCCAGCTGGGTTCAAATTCATGATCCTCCTGCTTCAGCCTGTCAGAGTGCTGGGACTGCTGGTGTGCACTACCATGCCTAACTATATAGTTGTATTTTTTATTTTCAGGGCCTTATAAACAAAGCTACCCACCATGAGTCCAAAGAGGTAGAAGTTTGCAAGGATCATCTGATCTGTTTTCACTCATACCTAGATCGCTGATACCACTAAGCTGCTGTGTCAATAACTATGGTGTGTGTGTGTGTGTGTGTGTGTGTGTGTGTGTAGTATCAGGGATCGAAATCAGGACCTTATGCTTGTGAGGCAGGCACAGTGCCACTGAGCTAAATCCCCGGCCCCATAACTATGATTTTAACTTGCATTCTAAAGTGTCCCACTGCTCCATGCCTGTTACTGGCACCAGTACTCAAATTTCTTCAACTTCGTTCACCCATTTGAGCAGTCAGTTGTTCTTAATAGTAGCCGAAGTCTTATTATATTTAATCTTCCTATGTCATTCTCATTTTCCCTAGCTCCTGCTTCCTGGCATCACTATAACAAATTAGACTACTGAGAGCAGAGAAAGTAGAACTGTATTCAGAATAAGCATTGTTTCAGTGTTCCTTCCAGGCCAAAGGGGTCAAATGGCATCAGCCTGCTACCAAAGGGCTGACTGGTTTCCTTGATAGTTGGTGTCACGCTGAGAGTTTACCATTGGTCTGTTCTCCTGTCTTTTTAGGTGTGAAACAGTGACACAGTAACTAAATCAGTTGTGGTGAGAGGGAACCTGTCTTGCTGAGCCCATGGCATAGGCTCAGGCTTTGTCATCGCAGCCTTTCAACTCATGGGTGCAGAATTGGAATAGCTGTGGAGAGAGGCTGACTGATACCCACAAAATGAATCGTTCTCTCCCCTGGTTCTTGGATACCTCCTCTACAGTAGATCAGTACATTAGGATTAATGATCTATGTAGCAATTCTCAGATTTGAGATGCCTCTTGTCCAAGTTTCCTTGGTTCAGTCTTCCAGTGTTGTTTTCCAGTCTCTAGCCTGCTAGCCCAGCCATTCACCATCGCTCAGGAGACCATGTATAACTATGTCTCAGGCTGCTTCTCTCTCTTCCTCAAGTGAACAATCAGGCATTCTGATTGTAGCTCTGTCCATTGCAAGGGCTTCCCTTAACCACTATTGTTTAGAGCCTCCCCTGAGTCACGATGCAGCTGTCCATATTGGATTAGCACCAAAATCCACACCAACTCATCTCTGAAGTAGATTTGAGTTTGTCCTCAGCAGGGCCCATATGTGGAAGGGAGAAAGGTTGAGTATCAGTGCAGCAGAAGGAGATGACATGTGAGTCTAGGCCAAGTGTTTTTGTTATTGCAGCTTCTACTCTACTTGGGCCCAGTCTCAAATGTACCATTTCCATCATACTGCAGATAGTTGCTGCAGTCTATATGACTGGGTGAGTCGTAATAATCATGATGGGCAGCTCCAGGTGGATAGTAACTTGATATGTTGGTTTCCTGTGGGTTTGCTAACAAATTGCTATAATCTTGGTGGCTGAAAACAGTGGAAAATTATTCTTTCATAGTTCTAGATGTCAGAAGTTGAAAATCATTGGGTAGAAATGAGGTGTCAGCAGGGCTGCACTCCCTCTGGAAGCTTGAGGGCAGCATTTGTTTCTGCCTCTTTGAGCTTGGGGTGACTGCCAGCGTTCTGTTCATTCAATATCTGCCTCTGTGGTCACTTGGCCTGCCCTTCTTCCATGTATATCAAATCTTCCTCTGCTTTCTTCTCACAGGGTTTATGTGATTACATTTAGGATCCATCTGGATAATACAGGGAAATCTTCTGGTCACATTCATAGAGATTAGGATATTTATGAGATATCTTTGGAGGTTTTTAGTTTACCATACTTAGTATTCTGTGGCAATCACTCTCTACTAAGACTCTGCAGGATTTTTTTTTGAGACAGGGTTTTACTATATAGTTCAGGCTGGCTTTCAACCCACCACAATCCTCTTGTATTAGCTTCCTCATTGCTGGGATTACAGGCATGCACCACCACACCCGGCTTTCAAGGATCTATTTTTTTTAAATGAAGAGTTATTCTCTTCCACTAAGGGAGGGTCTTGCTTCAGATCCCTAAAACTATAACTCTCCTTATAGACTTTTACAGAGATGCTACACAGCATCTTTCTACCCTATAGATCTACTGGGTCATAGGACTGAGGGCCGAGGTAGTTTATATTGCAGGCTGTTGTACAGGACCCTCTCTTGCTCTGAGCCCCAAGCAAAACCAGCAGCCTTCCAAGTCATTAGATAAATGGGCCAGAGTAGCATTCATCATCTAGCATGTGCAGCCTCCAATTTCCACCAAGCACTGTTCTTCTTTCTCAGCAATAGCAGTGCTAATACAAAACTTGTCCTTTACTCTAGACAGTTGGATCTCTAAGAACTTTTCCAATACGCAAGCTCCTGAATCTGTGTGGGGTTTATTTCCTACCCTCTGGAAAATTTAAGTTTATTGGGTCATGTAAATATTTTCATTTTCCTGCTTATCAACACAACTAGACTGATACCATCATTCTAGTGGGCCAATGTTGATGTTCTCTGGAATAAGAAAATTATCAGGATCCCTGTAGACTATTCTGATAGGTCAAGGAAGTAAAAGTCTTGGGGCAAAGAATGTGGACTATTATCCTTTCTAGAGAAAGATGAGCTGCTTTTGATCCTCTTTACTAATAGGAGTCTAGAACATGTTTGTCAGACCGACAGCCACATTTCAAGTGTCAGGAATATTACAGTAGAGATACTGCATTCAATGTGGTAGCTACAATTAAGGTTACTACTTGCTTAAATTTATGATAGTCCATTATCATTTGCCTGAGTCTATCTAGTTTTCCTAGTGACCAGAGAGGTGATTTGAATAAGGATATAATAGAGACAAACACCTTGCATCCTCTTTTCTTTTTGTTTTTGGTACTGGGGATTCAACTGAGGTCTTTGTGCTTGGGAGGCAGGTAGTGGAATGACTGAGCTAAATTCCCAGCCCGCATCCTCTTTTTTATGGTATTAATTTCTGCAGTTCCCTCTAGGATGTGATACTGCTTCTGATTTACTCTTGTTTTGACTGGGGCTGTGCAGCAATTGGGTAAGTCAAGGGTTTCCACTTGGCTCTTTCTACAATAATGATTCTTTTGTTGGTTTTGTTTGTTTCTTTGAGACAGGGTCTCACTATGTAGTTTAGTCTGGTCTTGAGAACTCACCATGTAGCCCAGGCTGGCCTTGAACTCACAGTGATCCTCCTGCCTCAGCCTCCCAAATAGTAGGATGACAGGCGTGCACCACCATGCCTGGCTACAATAATGTTCTTACTCTTCAGGGCAGGTTTCCAATGTGAGAGTTATGAATCTTCTAAATATGTCTCCACTAATCTCTACTTTCAAATCTAGGGGATTAGCTAGAGGGTGGGTATGTGAAATGAATTTGGGCTAGGAAGTATTTTATCAGCTGACTTCCATAATTCAAATTTATCATCTAAAAGTAATGATAAGACATAAAATCAATATTTAAAAATTAACTGCTCTTGGGCTGGGGATGTAGCTCAGTGGCATTGCATCTGCCTGGCAAGTGCAAGGTCCTGAGTTCAATCTCTGGTACTGGAAAAAGAAAATGAATTGTTCTTCTATACATTAATAAAGAACTAGCTGTGAAGGAAATTAGGAAAATAGCCAAATGCAG